CTAGCTTGATAGACATGATTTAAACCCTTAAACACAGACTGGGTGGAAATCTGCAAGCGTCAAGACCCTGATGGATTGTCCCAGACTTCCAGTTTCGATATTGGACATAATTCATCCTTCTGAGATAATGCCACTCCATTGGAGCAGCTGGAGGGGGCACCAAAGGAGCAGCAACAGAGGTCCCCTTGAAAAGAGCTTCAACAGGGAACTAAACATCAGCAGCAAGACCAGTTGTAGCAGCATCAGGGAGAGTGCCAGCCAGAACAACAATCCTGGCAAGAAACACAGCCCTATATAAAGAGTGATGGAGTATGACCAGGTCCCTCCCTGAGCAAAACTGAGCCATCTTCTTAAGATCTGGAGACTGTATTTGTGCCATCCAGATATTCAGGTAAGTGGTCCCAGACTTTCAGGTTTCCACCTGTATTGCGAATTAAGGTGACCACTCTGGGGGCACTTGGGAAATTGTTTGGGTTTTCTATCGATAACCTATCAATGGTGGTACATTTAAAAAGCGGTCTCAACAGGACGCTTCTCTGGGTCGAAAGGTTCCTCTTGAGGGTCTCTCTATCCACACAACAAATTCTGTCACCTCTAGGGCAATGTTTCTTTTTTTTTTTTTTTCCTTTTTTCCATGGGATTGGTTGGGGGAAGGAGGAGAAGACAGAACCCTAGACAAGGATGAAGAAAAGCTCCTAGCCTTACCTGATGTCTGGTTCAAGTTGGTTTTTGTTGGCAAAGATTGTGTCTTAGGAACTACCAGCACCTTCTCTGCCCTACTTTACCTGGACATCTCCTTCTTGGTAGATTTTGTTTCCTCTTCCTTTTCTTTATCCCTCCCAATTTGAAACTGGGGGATCAAGATGAAGGCACTTCCTCCACATCCATAAAAGTCTAGCTGCGACAGGGCTGTTGGGGCTGTTGTTCCAGCTCTTGCCAGATTTATTGTTCCAGCTATTGCTGCTGTGTTTCTTGCCAGGATTGTTGTTCCGGCTGGTTTTACTGCCTTTGTGATAGGGATAATTCCAGCTAAAGATTTCACCTCCTCCTCAGGCGCCAACAGTATGTCCCACATGGCATTGCTCCTTCTCACCCAAAACTTCATGCCTTCCCTGCTGATACCAATAAACCTCTGTGACTTCACATCAGTCATCAGCAGAGAGATGGTCCTGGTGTTGAGAGCATCTATCACCGAGGGCACAGTCAACAGTTCATTATCAACAATGAATTTTTGGTATTTTTCCTTGAGGCCCTCATAGTAGTCTGGGCCCTTCTTTTAGTCTGTTTGCTGCCCATGCCATAGTGGCTGGAGGTGGTTCTTATGACTGCTGTGAAGACACCTCCATAATAGTGGGTCTCTCACAACAGCAAACTGTAAAAGCAATTCATGCGACAAATGAAAACGTGATACTACAGACAATAATCAATAAAAAAGGAGTCGGACAAGCAATAAACATAGGTGAAAACATGTCACTCATTTTGTCTAATTTATGATCCAATTTGCTTCAAATAAATTACTTGGATGGGGGGGGAGAGTATTGGGAATGATTGCAAAGAAGTTTTTGCCCTCCCTCCCTTATAGTCATGCTGGGATATTTTTCTTAGCCAATAAAATGGGACAGCTTGTATTTTGACATGACTCAGTCCAGATCTGCCTTAACTACTAGTCAGATCTACTGCGTTCGCTTGTCCGACCTTACTTTTGAGTACAAATACCAACTCATAGTTTGTGAAGTCTTTTGCCTTCTTACCTGTTTGATTTGCTTTAACTATATTGTTTGTTTGCTTGAATGATTGTTGTTTCGTCTTCTTTGAGCTTTTTTCTTTTCATTGCAAACTTTATTAATTTTGGTCATGTTATTTATCTTGCATTTTGACAATGGCTTCTAACTCCTCAGCTTTTTTTTTTGCTTTTTTTTTTACCCCAAGCAAGGCAATTATGTGACTAAGATTACTGGGTGTGGAAATGAATGAAAAAACTTTAGTGAGAAGAAAGGACAATAAAAGAACCAGTTTCACAAAGACAGAAGGTGGTGAGTGATGTTACATTTAAACTTTTGAAGGTTTTAGGTGGAAGGGAAGAAAGAAATTGGAAGAGAGTTCCACAGGTGAGAAATGCAAGAAAAGAAACTACTAAAATAGAACTTAAATTTGCATCTAGGTATTTCATCAGTAAAATAATGAGAACTATTAGTCAATCTAGTAGTGCATCCTGGGTATGACGTTAAACTACATCCGTGTCCTGGGTAAGATGATAAACTACATCCAGCAGCAAGGCCTCTGATCAGGAGGTTTTGAAGAACATAGAACCACCTTTTAGTTGCTGGTGTTCCCAGGTCCACCCTGACCTGGGGTGGTAGCACCTGTTAAGGTCCCAGCTATGGGCAAATAGTTAACTATTACCAGCAATACATTTTTGAAAAAAAAATATTACCAGCTTTACTTTTTTGAAAAAAATTATTACCAGCAATACATTTTTGAAGGAAAAATATTACCAGAAACAGATTTTTGGTAAAACAAAATATTACCAGCAATAAAAAATTTTGTCGGCATTAAATAACCCATTGAGGTCAATATGCCGTAAAACAAACCAAACCTAACTCAATCTAGTAGCACACTTAAATTCATGCAGTCAATGTACCAAAGAGGAGAGCTCATTAAAACAACTACCATGAAAATATTTATAGAAAAGACAGAGGGAAGCCACATCATGGTATTGGAAAATTGACTGACGTCTAGATGACAGATAAGGACTGCTAACATTATAAACCCTTCTTTTGATTTTATTGAGAATCTCAAGATATATAGACAGAGCACCAGACCAGACATATACAGAAATATTCAATGTACAGAGGAATAGCAGATTTATAGATGTGTAAGATGGATTCTGATGAGAAAAATACTTTGGCATGATACCGTGAACCAACCTTCTTATCAGCAGTAGCAATTGATTCAATATTATTGCTCCACTTCATTTCAGTAGAAAACATGAGCCCAAGAAGGCACATTGAGTTGCTCCTCTGGAGGTTAGAATCAGCCATGCTGATGGAGGGCAAAAATGGTTCTCTGTGATGATTAAAGAATAACAGTTTAATTTTTCAAGTATTAAAATTTACACCCTTTTTTTGTGGAATGTACCAAGAATTCTAAACTGATATAATAATGTAATATCAGTTTTATTACACTTTTGTTATATATAAATATAAATATGAAAGTAGGTATTGTCAATATTTGTATCCACAAAGGACAGGAGAGTCTGAACAAATAATGGAAAGTTTTGTTAATATTTGCTATTGTTTTACGGGTTCCTTAATAATTTTCCCTTTAAATAAATGGCTAGATCAGGGCTTTCCAACCTTTTTTGTCATTGCTCACTTTCACATGGAAAAATTTTCCACTGCCCACTGTATAGTAAATATTCAAAAGTATACCAAAATTGTTTGGTAATACTTTGTTACTGGTTTATACACTGACTTTATGATGTAGTAAAAAATACCAAAGGGAGGTAACAAATAATGCTGACCTATGTGGTGGCTGCTGCTGCTACAACTGTATTAAAGAACAAATGAAAGCGAACTTGGCCATTGAAAACTATAATTTAGTTTTATGGTTAGGGTTAGTGTTGCAAATCTTGTCAAAAATTAAACAATTTTTGTTCATAATTAAAAAATTAAAAAGAATATACACTACTAGCAAATAATAAAAATTCAGCAAACATTTTGTTATATCTAATACTGAAGAACTATTTGAATGTTAATGGTCCTTCTCAAAACTACAGAAAATACCAAAACATTCCTTGTTTGCAGAGATATTTATATCTTATCTAAGAATGTGACCAAGTTATTCCCATTTAACCACCTGTTTTATATATATATATATATATATATATATATATATATATATTTGCATATTTCCTTTTAATATTTTTTCAGGTAGCACATATTGAAATACCTTGTTAATACTCAAAATCTTATATCATCCACCAAAATTTCCAATCACCCATCATTTTCTGTTCAGTTTCTCATCACCCACCCAACATTTGAAATTGCCTACCGGTGGGTGATATCACCCAGGTTGGGAAACCCTGGGTTTCAAACTTCTTATAAGTTGTGTAATACAAATGGCAAACAATCTTTTTATTTTAGTATTTTAACGATGTTAATTGTTAGAATTTTTTTTTTTTTCATTTTTACTTTTCTTACAAGCAACTCACCTTTACTTTCTCTTTTTCCAGGTGAAACTATATCCAGTACACAGTTTTGACTCTTTTTTTCAACTCTTTTACAATGTTAAACAGATACTAAACTTTGATCTTAGTCATCTGGGCTGTGGAGTCATTTTATTTACCCCAGCTTTCATACTGAGACGTGATGTGACACAAGGTTGTGTTTAATGCAGGGAACCCTAGTATGTACCAATACCTGTATTTTCTCACCTGTGGAACATTTTTCCAGCTTCTTGCTTTCCAACCAACATTGATCTTTAACAACTGAAATGCATTGTTCTTTCATTGTTCTCTCTCCTTAATTTTTTTTCCTATATTCTCTAACACTCAATAACCCCTTGTATCTCAGTGATTTTATTGCCTTGCTTGGGGTGGATATTTTATTATTAAAGATGTTAGAAAGATGAAACTTTACAATTTTGTAATTTGATATAAATTTTGAATGATGTATAAATTTTATCTTTTTATGTAAATTATAAGCTGACTAAATTCAGTGTTGGTTTCTTCTTAGTTGGAATATTGTATTTCATTAAAAAATATATAATAAAAAATTAAGTTTTATTCTGAAATCAGTAATCAGAGCAGTGGGTTCCCCAATCGAATCAACTTGTCACCTGTCTGTGACCAAGGTGAGGCTTCAAATTGGAGGACCTTTTGCGATGGTTTGACCTAGAGAGGATCAGCTCCTCCAGGTCTACTTGCCAAAGACACACTATGCACAAATGAATCTCTCTCCAACCATCATACCATATCAGCTGTCGTCTGAGATTATTACTGGAAGATCCTTTCCGAGAGATACAGACATTGGCATATAACTGAGACTTGTGGAATGACCTGGTCTGGTGTTCAGCTGTGCAGTGACCCTAAAACCACAGCTGATCATGATACTGATGATGATGATGATGATGATGATGATGATGATCCCATTTTTTAACTACTAACCTTTCACTACCTCTAACCTATATATTTATATTTTTATAGATGTCATGTTATTGTTACTTATTTTTTATTTATCTAAAACACTGAATGTCATGTTGAACTGGTTCACACAAAGTCTTTGTTCATAGTTCTCTGTTATTAAAAAATGTCTATCACAAAATATTTCAAGGTTTACTGATCTTTATCTGTCAAATTTTTCAAAACATAAACTATTAAATCAAAAGCAATCACCTTATAAGCAAATTTAGGACAAATCAATCAAATTTATCACAGGAAATATTCCAATTGTTGTCGTCCATCATTAGTCTGGTTTCATGTAATCAGGCTGGTTCATGAATTTTTAGAATTTTCCAAGCCACTATAATTTTCAGTTTCCAGGCCACTGCATCAACCATTTGATCTTTTCATTTGTTGATGTGCATTTGTAAGCACAAATGATTCCTGCTTTCTTTGCTGTATTTATTAATATTGAAGTGAACCAAAGATTAATATTTATGTGAAGACTTGTTTAAATTAACTGTGAATCCCCTAACAAAATTCAGTATAAAAATCTCTGCAATCTTAAAATAAATGGTTGAGTGCAATCTTAAGTTGATATTTCAGTAATGGCTCATCAAGATTAACTGTGAGTCCTTTAGCAAAATTCAATGGAGAAGAATTTCAACAATCTTCAAAAAAATGTATTCAACATATACATGGATTATATATACATACTAGCAGTAGAGCCCAGCGTTGCTCGGGGATGTAACAGTAAGAGATAGATCAAGTATCGACCATCATAAAGACTGAAAAATAAAATTGACAAAGATTATTGTTTAAGGTTGATGTACACACATGTCTTAATTAGTTTTTTCTTTTTTTTTTTTTTTTTTTACGGATTGGTCGAACTCAATCAAAAACATTGTTTTCAATCGTTATGAGTCTACCGATTGAATAGAATTTTATAAACAATTGTCTTGTAAATGGAATTTTTAAAGCATTCTGAATGTAAAAATAAAGAAAAAAGTGTGCAAGACAATAAGAAACACTACCTGCCAAAAAGAAAAAGTGAAGTTTTGTTGAAATCGGTTGAAAAATGTAGGAAATCCAATCCCATATATAAACGAACACACACACACACACACACACACAAACAACCTGGGTTTTATAATAAGTATAACTCGATATGAGTTGTCCCCCTTTCATTCTTGCGATGCCTCTTAATCATGTTTTCAAAATGATTTCGTGCAAAAACAATTGTGTTTTTCCAATTTTTGGCATTGTCAGAACCACCACAGGGTAATCTTACGTAGTCCTGTGAAGTTTTGTTGAAATCGGTTGAAAAATGTAGGAAATCCGATCTAATATATAAACGTACACACACACACACACACACACAACCTGGGTTTTATAATAAGTATGATTTATATGCAGAAACCCTCAGAAAAGAAGAGAAAAATCCATTCTTTCAACAAACTACTAACCTTTTATTGTGAATGAGAAAGTGAGTAACAATGTGCTTCCTAGAAAAACTTATTACCACTTTGATATAAGAACATGAGTCATTATTTTTTTTTGAACTGGGATATTTTCTTGTGTTAGAGAGGGATATATATTTATCTGGTAGGTTGTAGTGGAGATATTTTTGCATTGGAGAGAGATACCCTAACAGGATTCATTATTGGAGGCCACAATCTTAACAACATAAGCTATGCAGATGACATTGTGTTGATAGCAGACACAGAAAGGCAACTACAAAAATCCCTACAGAAGGTAATCAAGGAAAGCAGGAAGAATGGACTAAACATCAATTGCAAGAAGTGAGAAATGCATCAGCAAAAGGAACAGTCCAACATGCAAATTACAAATTGGAGATACCAAAATCAAATGAGTAGAACAATTTAAATATCTGGGAAATGTTATAACAGAGAACAGAAAGTGCAACACTGAAATCTGAAGATGTATTGGGATAGCAAAAGATGGCTTTCCAAAGGGAAGTAAAGTATTAAGAAACTGAAAAATAATATCAGAAACAAAGAAAAAGTGTACTGAACTGTTACATAATATCAGTCATCCTATATGGTAATGAATGCTTCCCTGTGCCTTTTCCATAAATATTTTCATGGTAACTGTTCTGATCAACTCTCCTCTTTGGTACCTAGACTTTATGAATTTAAGTGCAGTACTAAATTGGCAGCTAGGTCTTATCATTTTACAGTTGAAATGGCTAGGTGTGATTGTAAGTTCTATGCTAACAGTTCTATTACACTTCTCACTTGTGGAACTCTCTTCCAAGTTCTTGCTTCCCAGTAAACTTTGATCTTCAAAAATTCAAATGCAATGTCAATCATTATCTTCTGTCTTCTAAATCACTTTTCTTTTATTGTTCTCTATTTTTAATAATTTTTTTTCTCATATCCTTTTACAGTCATTAACCCCTTGCATCTTAGTGGCTTTATTGCCTTGAGTGGGGTTAAATGATTAAAAAAATAATTTCAATATGAAGAAGGGACTTGAAGCAACAAATGTGGCTCAACAGAAGGATGGTGAGACTATTATGGACTGAAAATGTAAGCAACAACAAAGTTTTAGAGATAGTAGAAACAAATAGGACTCTTATGCTTAACATCAGAAAGAGATAGAGATAAAGACATATGATACAGAAAGCGATAGAGATAGAGAAACATGATATAGAAAGAGATAAAGACATGATATAGAAAGAGATAGAGATAGAGAAATATGATATACAAAGAAATAGAGAGAAATATGATATAGAAAGAGATAAAGACATTATATAGAAAACGATGAGATATATGATATAGAAAGAGATAGTGATAGAGACATATAATATAGAAAGCAATAGAGATAGAGAAACATGATATAGAAAGCAATAGAGATAGAGAAATATGATATAGAAAGAGATAGAGATAGAGAAATGATATAGAAAGAGATAGACATGATATAGAAAGAGATAGAGATAGAGAAATATGATATACAAAGAAATAGAGAGAAATATGATATAAAAAGAGATAAAGACATTATATAGAAAACGATGAGATATATGATATAGAAAGAGATAGTGATAGAGACATATAATATAGAAAGCAATAGAGATAGAGAAACATGATATAGAAAGCAATAGAGATAGAGAAACATGATATAGAAAGAGATAGAGATAGAGGAATATGATATAGATAGAGATAGAGAAATATGATATTGAAAGAGATAGAGAAATATGATATAGAGATAAAGACATATGATATAGAAAGAGATAGAGATATATGATATAGAAAGAGATAGAGATATATGATATAGAAAGAGATAGAGATATATGATATAGAAAGAGACATAAATAGAGAAATATGATACAGAAAGAGATAGAGACATATTGAAGACAAGAGGAACAGAAGAAAACCACGCATAACCTGCCTGGCGAGTTTGTGTAAATGGATAGCAGAACAAAGTTTAGGAGAGATAACGAAAAGACAAAATTTATTAAGAGCTACTATGGACATGAAATTGTTGAGAGCCATGATCGCCAACATCCTGAAAGGACATGGCACAGAGAAGAAGACAATAGATTGTAATAGAGATATTATTATGGTCTTATGAGTGTTTTCAGATAGAAGATAGTGTGGTATTGTACATAATGCAACATATGGTTCAGGTTGTAAGCCACATCTGTGGTAGAAACAAGACCTGTCTTGTTACTATGGTATCCTGTGGCTAAACTGCAAAAGAAGAGAGAGAGGGTTTGTTTCCTTTCCTTTTATATTGTTTTATACAAAGCCAACTAACAAGCATAAGTAAAAAAAACCCCAAAAAACCTGGCAGACAAGATGGGGCAATTTTGCAATATCGCTTACTATAGTTATAGTTCCATGGAATAAAGGGAGTGCATTCTGCATTGTGAAGTTTAAATACTGTACATTTTTGATTACAGATAAGGTTGAACTCTTGAAAAAATTGTCAGTGGAATATTGATAAAAACTTGTTCAAGTATTACACACTTCCACAGTGTACAATATAAAGAAACAGAAGAACTGCATTATTTAGATAGGAGACTCAAAGAAACACGTGGAAGAAAAACATTGAAAGGCTGGAGTTCAAAACTAGATTAAGTGCTGAAAAAGTTGTTCAAGCTGCATGAAAATGACTGTCTACTTATTTCTTATTTAGAAGTAATTCCATTATGAATTAATCTAATTCTTTCAATGTGTTAGATTAGCGAACATTTTCCCAATGTTGTCTTATGGCTTATATAAGCTAGAATTCTCATCTTGTAGCTTTTAGCACAATAGTTCGGCTGGAGGTCAATTCCAGGTCTTGACTGGGTCACTCTTTTTTCATTTCAATAATATATGAGTCCTATAAAATATTAAAGGAACATACCACTTGAAAAAGGATTCTTATAGCCCCAAGAAATACACTGTTGCATATCAAATAACAACATGAGTTCAGTCCAGACCAGTGGTGACACCCTACTGGTTCACACCAGTTCACACAAAATGATTTTTAAAATTATAAAAGCTTAACATGGTTGTTGGATTATCCAAAAATAATCCTATATATTAATAGCCGATATATAATGGCCAAAAATATAATTAATACCATTGCTGTAAGTTCTCCAGAGGCTGAAAGAGGCTTTCCTGTGATGATTTATCCTGATAAAAGAAATTGTCTTGAAGTTAAAAATGTGACAAATCGTCTAGTCAAAAATTTGATAGGTCATCCATTGGATCTTTGGGACTGCAGCAATTCAATTGGAATGTGGCTAAGAAACCAAAACACAGCTGATGACACTAGAGTCAAAAAGCATTAAAATTCTGAACAGAAATATGATGAGAAGAGAATTTCAAACTGGAAATATCTTAATAAATAAATGTTGTCTATTAAATTATCAAAATGGTTCAATTCTTTTTGATACTATACAGTGATTTGTTTCTATTTTCAGATTGAAAATAAAATAAAGATTACCTGCCTTTATAGAACCAGTTCTTGGTCCTTCACAACTTGCTTCATAGCTCTTAGTAAGGTTTGGTATTTTGTTATTTCTCCTAATTTCTGCCAACCGTTTACACAAGCTCATTAGGTAGGTTATTTTTTACTTTTCTCTGCCCCTCTTACCATCCATGAGTATCACATTTTCCAAACCTCCTTTTCACATTATATGCCCTAGAAATTTCAACTCTCTCTCTATTCTTCAAACATGTGCAAATGCACATATTTGAAGAATAATTTAATTTCTAAAGAAAGTAATACCTTTCTATTTTTTATTGTATGAAGTAAACTCACAAACAGAAATCAGAAAATTAGCATTAAATATACTGCACTATTTACATAATTCGGACTATTGTCCTCATCTTTATCGCCATATTTATTACAACGTTTTGGCCGTTGTACGCTCAGACCTTCTTCAGCTGGTTGGAATGTCGAACTGAACCCTTTATTTTGCTCACTGTTCTAGTTCCACGTGCTATGTTTAATGGATGTCAGTTATCAGTTATCTCCTGTTAATTCCCCTCTCCAAGTTCTCCACTGCCTTAACCAGGTATTGAACTCACACTCTTTGGGTCCTGTCACTGGATCTAATTAATGCCTTTATCCACTATGCCATGTGTCCTTAAGGACAATAGTCCAAATAATGAAAACAGTGTATGTAATACCTCATCTCAGAAATATAGACAGATACTGTAGCATTAAATATGATGATTAAACTGGGATCAGTCTTAAGATGGTGCTAATGTCATTACTTGGTGCTGATGGTAATAGCTTATTATTTATGTACTAAAAAGCAATCATTCATATATAATAAGAAAGTTCAGTGTCAACCATATCAGAAACACAACATCAAAATTCAACATTCCAGTACTTGATATGCATGCAGATCTCACAAGCCCAGTCTACAAAAACAGACCAAATTAAGTGTAAGTGAAGCCAAGAATCAGCAAAATGTTTTGGAAATGAACCTGATTGGCAGTGATTTGGGGCCTTGTAAGTCAAGAGTAAGTTAAAATAAAACTAAAAATTTTGAACTATGTTTTTAATTATCTATTTTAAATGGCACAAAATAAAATTTTCCAATATGAATAATCACAGACTCTAATACAATTCTTTTAGCAGCAGAGTAATGACGAAGAATCAATGAGAATGACCAAACTCTTTTTTTCTGATATAAAACTCAGTCAGACTGTAGTTCAAAATTTGTGCTTCCTATTATAAAAATTGAATATAAGTGCCGATCAATTAAGACTGACCTATATGCAGATTCAAAATGCTTTATCTTTTAAAAGTCTTCTCACATAATTTAATCTGTTTCAAAATTTCATCAAAATTGACTGTAAATCTTAATCAATATGCAGATTTAATGTTTAATCTTTAAAAAGGTTCTCATGCATGTTATGCCAAATTCTGAAATTAATTATAAGGTAAAAGATTTTAAACAGAATATTTTTAATCTGAGAGGTCTTCATAAAAGTCAGTTACCCTCTTTATATCTGATTTTGAACGCCTCATTGAATTACAGGTCAATCAGTTTTAAATGTAAATATGATTGGAGGGCCATAATGATGCATTTTTTTAATCATTTCACCCCAAGTAAGGCAGAAGTTCCACTAGTACACAGGGGTTTACAGAGAATGAAAGTGAGAGAAAAATCTGAGTATGGGGGAGGGGGGAATTGTAGAAAGGATAAAAGATGAACGGGGTTCAAGACAACAGAAGATGGCGATTGACATTGTATTTAAATTTTTGAAGATTGTAGTTATCAGGGAAGCAACTAAGTGGGAGTGAGTTCCACTGTTGAGAAGTGTGAGAAAAGAAACTGTTAGAGTACAAATGGCATTTATATTTAACTAGTTCAACAGTAAAAGGGTGGGATCTAGATGCCAATCTAGTAGCACACTTAAATTCATGTAGTCAGAGCAGTTGCAATGAAAATCTTTGTAGAAAAGATAGAGGGAAGCCACATTACATCTATGAGAAAGTGACTGGAGTCAAGATGTTAAGTTAGGATCAATTATATTGCAGATCCTTCTTTGGATTTCGTCAAGAACCTCGAGATGAACAGAAAGGACAACAAACTAATTATGGCAACAGTATTCAATGCACGGATGAATGATAGACTTGTATATGTGCAAGATGCAAGAAAAACCTTCTGGCACAACACAATGAACCAACCTTCCTTGCAGTAGATACAGCTATTGATTCAATGTAGTTGTTCCACTTCAAGTCAGCTGAAAATATGTGACCAAGAAGGCACACTGAGTTGCTCTCCTGGAGTCAAGCATCAGCCATGATTATTGTGGGCAGGGAAATTTCTCTGTGGTGGTTAAATGAGAGCAGTTTATTTTTGGAGGCATTAAAATTTACAAGCCATTTCTTCCCAGTTAACCACTGATTAGAGGTTCTTTTCAAGAGCAGCACCAAGGTTAACTTTGTCAGCTCTGACAGATTTGCTATTGAGGCAGGAGTAAATGGTAGTATCATCGACATAGATGCCTACTTGGGAACTGATGACACCAGGAAGATCATTCATGAAGATCAAAAAGAAGCAGAGAACCCAGGATAGAGCCTTGAGGAACATCCGCATTTATGTGAAAGGATCTGGAAGTGAGCCCATTCAGAATGAACTTCATTTCACAATTTGATAGGAAGGATTGGATTAAATCAAACAATCATTTTGTAATACTGTAGCCCTGAAGGTTATATAGAAAACAAGCATGCTAAACCCTGTCAAATGCCTTTGAGATATCTAGAGCCACAGCTCAAACTTCACCATTATTATCAAGAGCTCGATATACATATTCATTGATGTGGACCAGGCAAAATAGAATCCATATTGTTTGTTAGAAAGTAGGTCATGAGAGGTAAGATGCTTAAGCACTTCAGTCTGGATTAAAGCCTTGAATTCTTTGCCAAAAAGCAGCAGGAGACCAATAGAGGGGTCAGAAGATTCTCCAGAGTTCTTGAAAACAGGGACTACAGAGGAAGACTTCCAACAAGCTGGAAAGCAGGAAAGATGCTTTTTTAAAAAATTTATACAGAATAATATTAAAGGAAAAATAATATTAAAGTAATTATCTTAGAATAATAATATATTTCATATAGTTTGCAGACTAATATGATATAATATGATGATGGACTAGATTTAGATTACTGAAACATGAGTGAATCTATGATTACAGTCTAGTATAGCAATCTAGAACTGTCTTGATTGTAATGTTCAAAACATTCTTAATTTTTTAAGCTACTGGATATAAAAACAAAAGATGTAGGGATTTTTTTTTAAGCCTCTGGAATTATAAGACTTGAACAAAGAAAGAGAAAAAAAAATCTTTGCTCTTGACTAAATGTTCCAACAAAGGCCAACTCTTGAAGAATCTTATATCTTTCCACCTCTTTACAAGGTTAGAGTTAACACAAAGTTATTTTTTAAACTGTACCCCAACTAACATGTACATGAGGTAGATCCAAAAATTGTTCATCTCACTCAGCATTTCTTTCAGAGGCACCTCAGTCATCAATGATTAACCCTGGCCCAAACCTCTTTTGTTGCAATGGAGAGGTGCTGTCTCCTGTAACTGAACCCCTATATTTCTGATTGTTACTCCAGCCAGGAATGATTAAAGTTTGAACACAAAAAACCATTGAAATTTTTGTTTGGTTAAAATTAATCCTAATAAAAATTTAGGAATCCTCCTGGTAGCAATAGATGAGATTTTTGCCTGATAATAAAAGAAAGAAGGGATACAACAGCCCACTCTGACTGAAAGAAAGAAGAAAAGAGTTTTAGTAGTCAATATATAGTAGGTCATAAGTAGCATTTTTGTATGTTAATCTGTACTCAGGCATGGACCTGGTTTTACTTTTTCTTATTTTGTACAGTACATTTCATGGAATTAATAAATTTGTATTATTCTTAGATTTACTAGCAATGTTTCATAACATTATTCTATTATTATTTGGGGGGGGGATATCTACAACCTCCCCCCACCTCCAGGCCATTACTTTATTTATAAACAATGTTTCAAAATATTAATATTTTTTTATAAAGAGCTGTATCTTAGCAAGAAAATAAAAATAAACAAAAATGTTAATTGTGTATCTAATTATGAGATACACAATCAACATTTTGGTTTATTTATAGAGAAGGAGAATGAAATGTCTTATTTCAAACTCAGTCAAATTGTGTGTGTATGTATATGTGTGTGTGTGTATGTGTGCATGTGATTATGTATAAAATAAATGGCACAAGCAGATGTATGTCACTAAACACACACAAATGCATATACATTTCAGTCACACACAGACAATGCATGATGGACAATCACTTCATCTTTTATAATATAGATTTCAGCTGAAAACTCACCTTATATGAAGGTCACAAGAATATGTTAGTCATCATTCAGAGTGATATGAGTAAATCAATTATACCAGGTCATCTAAAAAAGAAGAAATCTTACCTCTTATTCTGGGAAGAAATTAACAAGGAGCTTCACTGAAAGATCTGAAAAATAAAACAGTCAGTATACATGTCAATAATAAATTATTCAGTCAAGTATAAATTAAGTATAATGGAGCTCCTATTATCTTCTGGTCTCATAAGAGTATTAAGTCACCTGAAATGAAAAGTAGAAATCTTTACCTGTTTGCTTTGTAGTAAATATCTTCTGTATTGTTTCACTGTCTTTCTTTAATTGTTGCCAGAACTGAGACATTGCCAAGAGCTTTTGTATACTTTAATAAATTATTACTGAATTTTTAACCTTTAATACCCAATTTATGTAATGTTAATTATTACAAAACTTTTGATGTTAATTAACTTAAAAAGAAAATTTACTTGGAACAAAATTGTTTGGTTGAAAAAGCTTGGATACAAAATATTCAAATAAATCAATCATTTCTTCAATATTTACTATACTGAAAATATTTATAGTTACTGAAAGAGAAAATCTTCAAAAAATGCATAATGTATCAGTGATTAGTTGAAATAATGAATTCTATTGAAACCAGAATCTCTTTTCTGATTGTTAAACTATTTTTACTTGTTCTTCAATAAGTGCATTTTAAACTGCATTTACCTCCTCATTTCCTCTGTTTTTGGGGGTTTTTTTTTAGTTCATGAGAAGGATTATATTATGTCAATTCGGTTAAGTGATTTAAATTGGAAACATGCACACACGCACAAACTCATATGTTTATCATCAAACATAGACACAAAGTTTTTTCGTAACTTTTTAGCAGTAAGGTTTTTTTTTATCTTTCTTGTTGTCACCTTTGAAAAATATATTAATTTTCTTTTTATCATTTTGACTTTAGTTTTAGACAACTGCAGATATTTTAAAAGTAACACCATTAGCCTATTAATTCCCACCATAAAATCTAGTATTAATTGTAAAAATAAAAATCCATTATTAATAGGTTTCTAAAAAAATCTGGTATTAATTATAGGTTTCTACCTGTAACTAATTAATGAGTAAGAATTACCCCATTGTGTCTGCTAAGACACTCACTAGGTGTTATTCCAGTCAAGACTATAAAAGGAAAGATATAAACCATATCTTTCTCTTTTTGCTCTAAGATATAGAAACAGCACAGATCTTCTCTCGGTCAAGGGATGTGTATTTCTTCCCTCAACAAGTTAATTAATGTTAATTTAATGCATGCATTCTTTTTTCTTTTAAAATCTAAATCTATGTCATACTTCAATTTTGACTCATTTTCAAATTTCTGGAGAAAATATGTCATATCTATATAAATATAGACAATTAGCCAACTGTCTAGATTATAAGTTAAATTGAACAACATCAACTTTTAACTCTTGAAAATATGATAAAGCCAGCCTAAAACCTTAAGTGCTATATATAAAAATCTTTCTTTGTAGTTAAACAAGTAGCTTTTAACCCAGTATTACTTTATGTTAAAATGACTTGAAATTATCATTAATTCACTTAACAGCCGCTTTTGGGAGCCATTAAGCTAAATGTGAAGTCACCTTATTTATAGAATTTATATTAATTATTTGCAAATAAACAACATGTAACATTTAAAATTAGCTTTACTTGTACTCTCACTAATCTCTAACCAGCGGGAGTCTAATATTAAATGATTTTTGAACATACCTTCTGAAAATTTTAAAAATAAGGTGCGGAAATGTTCATCATAAATAGTTTTAAAATTAAATTAATAATTTTTGTCTGAAATAATGATACCTGTGTTTTATTTTGTTAAAAGAAATTTCTATATAAAAATATGCAATAAAATTTTTCTCAAGATAAAGTTATTGTTATTTCAAATGTATTAATATTTTATGCAAGAATTAATATTTTTTCAATTTCTTATATTCATTCAATGTTGATATAATTTTCTTTTCAGCTTTTGTAAACAAGAACACAAACATCAAATCATTACTGTTAGAGTGAACATGAATTCAGCCTATTATTTTTAAGTTGCAAGTTGAACTCAAAATTTGTTTATTAGGGATTTCCATTTCAATTTTTATTTATTATTAAAGTTAAAACAAAATAGATAGATAAATAGATAGATAGATAGATAGATAGATAGATAGATAGATAGATAGATAGATATGAAAACACTGAGATAGACATGAACAGACTGAGATAGATAGATAGATAATAGATAGATAGATAGATAGATAGATATGAACACATTGAAATAGATATGAAAACACTGAGATAGACATGAACAGACTGAGATAGATAGATAGATAGATATGTAACGGTTAAGGTAGATAGATTTGCTATTTTTAGAATACATAATAAACAGCCCCCACTTTTTTTCTCAAAATATTGTCTGAAAAATATCTCCAATGTCTTATAATATATTAAATCGATGTATCTGATTAGCTAATGTTTATATAGATGCTATAGATGTCTAGTTATTGTATCTAGCTTAACTCCATACTACCTGTCATGTTAAATGTAAATATTTGGTAAAAAAATAGTCATTTTATCTTCATCCACTTTTACATTTGAGTAACAGGAGTTTAATGTCTAATCACTTAACAAAGAACTGTACCAGATAAAAGAAACCATATCACTTGAGGACTTCCCTGATCTGGCATCTCATCTGCAGTCGCTCTCTCACAGACATACCATCGTTTCCCTCTGTCTTTTTTATAAATACTTTCATGATAACTGCTCCGATGAACTGCTTTCGCTGGTTCCCAGACTTCATGAATTTAAGCGTTCAACTAGGCTGGCATCACGCTCTTGCCCTTTCACTGTCGAAACTGTTAAATGTAGCCATCTCTTCTACTCCAATATCTTCATGCCTCGCACTTCTTGCCTGTGGACTCCCTCCCCTTTTCTTGTTTCCCTGATAGCTATAATCTCCAACTATTCAAATGTAATGTCAATCGACATCTCCAGATGCCTTGATCTATCCCTTGTCCTTCTCTTCATCCTTTCCTCTATCACTCCTCTTTGCTCTCACTCCAACTCTCTGTAACCCCTTGCATGCTAGTAGCTTACTTGGGGTGAAACGCTTAAAAAAAAAAAAAGCAACAAATAAAACGGGTAATACATGTAACTTGTAGAGAGAATGATAACATAATCAAGATACTGACATTGCACACTACTCAGAACAAGACAAGGAAGGAAACCACTATCAATACTTGAAAAAGCACAGTTACTCAACTTAAGAAACCTATTTTCCTGAAAAATTGTTTTAATAGAAAGGTTTTATAAATTTCAACTGAAAGTAACATAGATTGCTTAGTCAGAGAATGATGTATGCTTCCTTATAAGGAAATAGTTGCTATACCAACTATTACCAATGTTATTACCATTGCTATTACCATTGCTATTACCATTGCTATTACCAATGCTGTTACCATTGCTATTACCAATGCTATTACCAATACTATTACCATTACTATTACCAACGATATTACCATTACCAATGCTATTACTATTGCTATTACCAATGTTATTACCAATGATATTACCAATGATATTACCAATGCTTATACCTTATAAAATTATGTAATGATCTCTTTATTTATCGATTATGACAACAATAAATTACTGTAATAAATTCTTAAATATTATTAAAAAAACAATTTTTATTATGTTTTATAAAATTTGTTTTGTTTTTATTTACAGTGAGAAGAAAATCTTATTGATTTATTAGAAAACTCGACCCCTGGTCCTAACCACCAGCCATAACCTGTACTTGTGCTGATCAAACACAATACAGCTGTCTAGGTCTTGAATATCATACCAAAAGGCTACACTTCAGTGGAGATGTCTTGTGTTGGGTGCAATCAATTTCATTGGTTCATTTCTTTCACCAGAATTTGTATGGCTTTGTTGATCTGGGCCAGATTTTGATTGTACTGTTTCTTATGCACAGAGCAATCTAGGTGAAAAAGGGGATAAATGTGCCAACAGAAGAAATGACACCTTTGAAAAATTAACAACAATTTAATTAAAGGTGAACTATAAAAATCATACAACCACTATGGGGCTGTTTCATAACAATCATTCCTTTTCTAACTTTGAGACATTAAGAAATGTCTGTTTGTTAAGTAATGCTAGTAGTACTAATATCTTAGTGGTGAATAATTTCTACAGTGGATTTTTTCTAATACACAATGAATGGCAGGATTGCCACTTTTCTCTGCAATTGTTTGACCACGAGGCACATATTGTGAAGTTACTGTGGGTAGCTCTCTTGAAATCTACTCATTTCAGCACATGCATACTCTGTTTATATTGACTTTGGTTTGGGAATGGACATGATTAATTAGCTTTTCAAACAAAAACCCTCCTATTATATAACCCAGATGGTCATACTAAGAAGTGTTTTCATTTTTGGCCTGGAATTTTAAGTTCCCCAAATTTACATTGAAATCAACATGAATATGCCAGATAGGATGCTAAAAAGCAAATCTGAAAATTTCTGAAAAATCCTCTGGACTTTTGACAAATTCATTAGTCATGTCATGCCAACTTCTTTAGGGTTATGCTGAATCTTACTAAATCTTGAGTTCAAACTCTTCTGAGGCCTTTCTTATAAATATTTTATGGGTTTAAATCAATATTTTTTAACCAGACTTCTTTCTATCCAACTGTAATCTGATTAACCATTCTCCATACTTTTTTCCTTTTAATATCTTTACTCCTTCACTCAGAATTATTAAGCTTCTCAATACCTAAAGTCACTAACCACTTTCCATGCACTAGTATGACTCAATCAGGGCCACTGCCCTGTTATAACAGTAGTGAGGCTAGCTTTGTCTAAAAAAAAAACTATTAAAGATTTCTAAAGAAAATGAATAATAAGTGATTTGTTGTAGAAAAATAGATAAAATTTTAATATTACTAAATTGTAAAAAATGTCTTTTAAAAATTCTTCATGTTGTTTTTTAACTTTTACAATAGATATCTATTACAATGTATTTACTATGAAAATGTCTTGCAAAGGATATATATTGCACCATTTAATACTTTCATATTTAAAATGGCTTTTATAAGATCTAACTGTTGGTTTACCCTACAAATATAATGATTTACCATAAAAATATATTGAAAAATAACTGCTGATGTGAGGCAATAAAAATTATTTATTGTACATATGGATCAAGGTCCAACTATAATATAAAATTAAATGTTTTTAAATAGATTTTTAATAACATTTTTTCTCTTTTTAAATGTATCAGCAATGATATATGACACAAGAAGGACATGATGTCGAACAACTGGAGTCACCTTTGTTTTTTGTAACAATGAAATTTTTTGCGTAGAACTGCTTCCAAAGTAAATGCTATAATTTTGAAGGATCTTAAGTTGATTCCATGACCTGGATTGCAAGTGTATTCTGGGATTGAAAAAGTGTGCTTTTTTATAGATTTCATACTGAATGGTCAGACACAGTAAGATAGAATGAAACACTGAACAGACTGAAGGGGGACTGCCTATTGAAAAGAACCATACAAAATAGAGCAACCCATCCTTTAATATTTAATCTTGTAAACATTAACAACAAGAAATTGACAAACAAACAATATTTTTTCACACATAAACATTAATATTAGATGCAAAAACACTCTAATATTGTTACACTTATACTATAGACCAAAGGTATGAGGCCACCATCTGGATTTTGAAGAATCAAATAAAAATTGAAGGTTGTGTACCTTTTTCAAAGCTGATTTGTTAATTCAGTTCAGACAAGAGAAAGTTTCTCTTTCTGAAGGGTTTTATCCTAAATTCAATAATAATAATAATATGATTGATTTCAGGTTATTTAAAGCCAGAAAATATGTTAAGATTGTAAGAATTATTTTTTTTGAGATAATAATAATAATAATGGTTTAGTGATAAAAGTCTTACTAATTAACTCGTACCTGGGTTTTACTGTCACATGCCCAAAAATGTACAGAAGAAGTTATAACATTAAGAAAAAAATGAATTAAAAAGATCAAAGATTTTTTGATCATTTTGTCTCATTTTTTTCTTAATATTATAACTACTCCCAAACTTAATTAAAGCCATAAAAAACTGCTAAACTTAATTAAAGTTATAAAAACAAACATGTCTATTAAAATGAGAGCAAAATTGACAGGTAATAAAGATAATATCTGTCTACATCACTTTGATGAGGTATTATAATTACTTGTATTATTTACATTATTTGGACTATTATCCTTATCTTCATTGCCATATTCACAAATATCTGTCTATATCTCTGAGATGAGGTATTATGGTTACTTGTATTATTTACATTATTCTGACTATTATCCTCATCTTCATTGTCATATTCACAAGGTTTTGACCTCTATATCTCTGAGATAAGCTATTATGATTACTTGCATTATTTACATTATTCAGACTATTATCCTCATCTTCATTGGCATATTCACAACGTTTCGGCCATTGTACACTCCGGTCTTCTTCAGGTGATTGGAATCTCGAACCGAACCCTTTATTTCATCCACTGGGGTAGATCGTTCTAGTTTCTTGTGCTACACCTCTTCTGGCTGTCTCAGTTATTTCTCTTTAACTCAACTCTCGAAGTTTTTGGTTCACCACTGCTGTGGTCCTTGAGGACACATGACCCAGTGGATAAAGACTTTGGTTAGATCCAGTGACTAAATCCAAAAAGTTGTGAGTTCAATACCACATTAATGTAATACCAGTCCAATTAATGTAAATAATGCAAGTAAAAAAGATAATTACTATAAATTCCAATTTGTAAAAAAATAGGGAAAAGAAATAAAAATTGGTGAGCAGTTTTCATTTCTCTTTCTTTAGAGCTTGATCAAGCTGTGCACCACAACAAAAAGTGGAGAAATAAACTTCCACATTGATGATAAGAAATACACATATATTAATAATATGCTATCATATGTATATTCATATCATAAGCTGATCAAATTGAGACCCAACAATCATTCTTGATTTTGTTTGCACAAAGATGGTTGTTTAGAATTGATAAAAATAGTTTCCAAAAGTTTAAATGCAAATGGCTCAACACACAGACATACTCTCATAGTAAGCTAAAGTGAATTGCTTATTATTAATAAAATATTTGGAAATTGCAGGCATGGATGTAAGACAACACTTGTGCAAATTTTGAAGTTGACCTATTAGGATATATGCTGGAACATGCTGAGAAATTTTCTTCTCTAATAATTGGGCGATTAGTTTATTTTCAGAAAAAATTTGTACACATAGTCAATTAAAAAATGGAAAGTATTTTCTGTCTGAATTTCTGGAATGAGGAGTTATCATTATTTATATTATTGTAGT